TTTTAAGATATAGGTACAGTGATATCCGCGGATATGTCCTCCGCCCAGGCCACCGACTGGACATATACGTGGTGAGGTGGATTTCCGAGAAGTGGTCGACGATATCTGACGCGTCACCTGACACCAGCTCACTCGGTCGTGCCTGCGTCACGGGTAGGACGGAGCGTAGGCAGTACAAGTGAGACAGAATAGAGGAGTGTAAAAGCAGAGTAGAGTAGTCAGCTCATCGATATACGGTGAGATTTACCTCGAGGTCTGGCCTCATGAGGTCGTTTCACGTTGAGGTCATGCTCAGTCAGGAGGCCGAAAAAAAGAGTGTTCTTTAGGAATTTTTTTCTCGAAAACTATAAGTCCTTTTTCAAAAAATGTGTTTGTGTTTCAAAAATTGTAGTTTCAAGATTATAAGGTAATTTTTTTATTTAAACATATTTATTAGTAAATAAATGGTGAGCGATCTCCCGGATGTCTCTTCACAAAAAGTGGTCTGCCGTGATCACTGTAACTTCGTAACGGTTCATCTGAAATTAAAAATTCAGTAAGATTTATGTAATGGAAGAACCAATCTTGTCCTTGAACGTGGGGTTTTTCGAAATATTGATTAGATACAAAATAGCGGACGTTTTCCTGAAAAAGTGCGATTAGAGGTTATCTTTCACCTAGAAAATCACTCGTTTTTGGTCAATTAAAAAGAAAGAATGAACCGAACAAAAGAATCGTTCATTCAAGGACAAGTTTTTCTGATTTGAAATAAGGCGCAAAAGGCTTCATGTAAATCGACACAGTAGTTTTCGAGAAATATTGATCACCGATTTGAAAAATGTAGTTTCGAGAAAAACGCGTTTAAAGTTTCAAGTCAAGCTTACACTTATCTAAAATGTTCATTTTTTAACGTCTGTAGCTCTGTCATTTTTAATTGGATTACGTTGAAACTTGCACAGAATATTCTCGACATGTTGTACTTAAAAAAAGTGTATAAAGTGAAAAATCGATTTTTGAAAATTTCTGACTGAGCATGACCCGTTAAGGGAGCTGAGTCTCTCGAAGCCTTCTTGTAATCTGTAGCGAGATAGTAGGGGCCGTGCCGAATCTACGGGCGATGGTTCCCGAAGGGACCATAACGAATTTGCGGATATTAAACAATCAGGGAGTGCTAGTAATGTATGGGATAAATCAGTAATTATTTTACTTCAGGACAATTTTTTATAAATTTGTATGAACATTAGATGTATTCACCGTGTTCCACATAGCTTTAAAATTCGAAATTATGTTGAAAAAAAAAGTTTATTTGCAAAGGTTTTGCAGAATTGAGATTTAGCGGTAAATAACTATTGATGCCGGCTATTGCCGGACTTGATTTTTGATTTAATTGTTACTTTAACTCTTATTTATTGAATTACGATTAGTTCCAAGTGCGCCATTTTGCGCCTAAACAATAATATTTTTGTTTTAAGTTCTATCAGACTAGCAAGTAATACATACTAAAGTGACAATCACTGATTCTCACAAAAGAAAGAAATAATAGTAAATAATAATAAAAATACAAAATTAGTATAATATAGTAATAATATTTATTCAATACTAATTTTCTATAAAGAGAAATACAAAATTAATTTTCTTCGTCTGAGTGATCGTTGTCTACCAGAAGTTCTTTTACATCATCTTCGAATGTTAATCGATTTTTATGAAAATTTTTTCTTCTAGCTGAGGAAATTGAAGATATTAAAGGATCAGATTATATACATAATATATGAAACAAATTAATTTTGTTTTTTATATTAAAATTAATATTACAATAAAATCAGATAAAGAAAATTAATTTTTTATTTTAATATCATTGTTTTATACATACATTAATATTACAATAAAATCAGATAAAGAAAATTAATTTTGTATTTTATTATCATTGTTCTATACATACATTTCCGTCCTACGATCAGATCGGGCTATTTGACCACTTTCGACAGAATATTTGATAGAAAAAGTAAAAGTGAAGTGTTTACTGAGATCAACCGAAATACTTGGATTTAAGTGTTTGAAATACGGAACAAAGGAAAAATTCGGTTTTCTAAACCGGTACCATGTACTCGATTATTGCAGCGTGTTTGAAAAAATTCAAAAAAGCTGAATAATATTTTCGTTGTATTTTTAATCGAATAGAATCGAAAGTATGTACGTTTATATTCAGTTGTCTTTTTTTATAAATTAAGCTGTAAATATATATGATTCTGTGTTAATATTTACTGTCTAGTAATAAATTACTAGATTGGCCGAGGATGTATCGTTATTGGAATTTTGTTGAAGATAGATGATCTGTTTGACGATTTGTTTTTTTTATTTACGGTCGGTACAAAGAATTGCGAGATAAAGGACGTGGAAAGCCGAGGGTGAGTCACATCTGTAACGTGCCATGATTTTTCTCCTTGTTTACGTTTACGTTCGAGTTTATTTATAATAGATCGCGTTCCTGGACTCCCCAGTGATTTCAGTTGATGTATACTTTAATATTGTATTGCTGAAACTTCAAATTGAGCTATTGAAAATATTATATATTAATAGGTATGCACTTGACCATGCATCTTTACCCTTTAAAAGACTACAATTATTCTACCTTCCATCGATGAATTCTCTTGTAAATCTGATTCGTCTAAAGGTAAATCGGTAAGAGTTTCATTTATCGGCTTGCCACCGCTATCGCTTAACACGGACAGTTCTGAAGATTCTTCAATGGTACTTGTATCTTTACTTCTGTTGAGTCTTTGAGGTGGAGTTCTAATAGCGTGCAAGATACTCTGTTGTCCCAAATCGCATTCCTACGATAACATCGGATAAATATTACAGGGTATGAAATATAACAAAGCACAAAAAAGTAATAAAATTTTCAGTCTACACGAAGTTTGTATTTATAGAATAATGGATGCAGGAATGGAAAATTTAGAACCAGGTGAGGTATGATAATACATAATTCAATTTATATTATGAAAAAATTGATTGTCATGGCTGGTGTCGTGTAAAATAAGAATATTTACCTCTATAATTGTCGAGTTGTGCAGTTCTTTTCCTTTAAATATCATTTTTATGTCTTCAGGTGATATTCCCATTTGAGAAGCCACTATTTCTTTCACGTTTTTTATGCCCCATTTCGGATCTAGATCAACAGCGAGCGTGTTTCCAGTGTTGGTTTTCACATAAATACTTAGCTAATTTGTGATTCTTCGCTTGCCAAACCATATTAACTGTAACATTTTCAGAAAAACGCTCCGTACGAAGTCGATAAAGAAACTCATACCGAACCTGCGAGCGTCGTTTATTTAGCTTCGGTCTAAAGAAAGAAAGAGGCAGAAGAAATTGGACAGAGACGGTATTACACAACCAATAACTTTATTTTCAATTTAAACTGTTTATTTTTCGAATGCTACTTGAGAAGCTGTGATTAGAGTCTAACTATACGAATCCGGCGACATCTTTGATCGAATAGTCAAGTAGAAAAGTCTCGGAAACAATACTTGAAACTATCATTAAAATTTATCCATTTTTCTCTAAATAAACATTTACTCTACGAACCGAATAGATATTTTTCTATTGTATATAGATATTCATACCTAGGCTTACTTTACCTTTAAAAGTAAGCTAGGCTAGGCAAGCTGTCAGAGTAACGCTCTTGCAGCTTATAAAATCGAATTTGCCTTAAAGAATATATGGAAATGAGTGTTTTTATTTTATCCGTAAAACTTAAAAAGACTAACGAAAAAATAGTTCAGTGTGTCAAATGCCTAAATTGAAACGAATAAAATAAACCATTTCGATCAATGATAGAAGGTGAAATAAATAATTTGCGTATAACAAATGAATTTTTATTCAAACAATAATTTTTGTTCAACAGAACAATAATAAACTATACATGGAATCAAAATAATATATGCAATCGAAAATTCAATTATAAATTGTAAAAGAGCGTACAATTCTTCGATTCCGCAATAGTAATGACGAAAAAGTCAATTACAAGTATTCAATACTTGATAATACAAATTTCACAAGATAAAGTTTTCTATGTGCAATATTTTTAATATAAATGTTTTTTCTTCTTTTTACGCCAACAAACACGATCGATAGGTATTCAATACTTGACGATATTGAATTACTATGGCTCATCAAACCATAATACAAATTGGACAGAGTACTTTAACGAAGTACAAATTGTTCAAGTAATTCGCCAATGATTCTCTCCCTCTTTATAATACTTCCTCTTCAATGTTTCTGTAGATCTGATCACAGATTTGTTTTTCGCCGCCACTTCTGGTCGCTTCGCAACGTTTTTTTCGCCTTCACTCCTTCTTTTCCGCGTTATTTCTTTTGAATTTTCTTGTGATTCTTGATTTAAGCCCTGACGGGACTTTTCTTTAGCAGCCATTTTCTCTTCAATTGCGTCCAATAGCAACATATAGAAACGAATTTCACGAACTCTGTCCAATTCTTCATCTGACACATCTACCGATACCAACTCAGGATTCTTAGAGTCTGAGCTGAAAACCTTACGAACGGCTTTCTTTTTATCTATATTTTTGTATGGTCGTTTTTTCGAATACTTCATATTTTTATTGGTATGTCTGTTATTTCTCGAGTAAGACGGACCAGCCGCCTCTATATCCTCGTCTTGCTTTCGGTTCTGTAATTTCAGGAGATGTTCGTTTAAGCTCATAATCGGAGCTCCTGCTTCGGGATTTTTTCGATTTTCCCTGTCCTCGGGTTCAGAAAAGTTACACACGTCGTTGTACGTTCGAATGGATTTCTTCATAAATTTATCCAAGTATCCACGTACTACAGTCATATGCTCTGGTATCTCTAATTCCGGCCATAATTCCGAACGACGACCTAATCAGGATTAATAATTTTACTATCAGATGAATTTGAACACATTAAAGGATTATTGAATAGGTATATTAGAACCGACTGATCGACTAATATTTCAATCCCACGGAAATGAAAATCAGAACATCGAAATCATAGGCGTAGCCAATTTATTTCCGTCTGTTATTCGAATTCCCAAATAACAAATACACTTCTATTTAAATAATTATGTAAATAAACATTGAATCAATAATGCCCAACACTGCATACGCTACATTAATTTGGTAACTGTATATTATCGCTTACCTTTATTTAGACTTTTTGTCTGTTGTCCAGATGACGATGATTCCAACTTTGATCGAATACATCTGGAGCATCTAGCAGCATATTTAACCATATCTTCGGGATGTGCCTCCATATGTTGATCCCAAAGAAGATCAGCCGACGCTGTAGGGATCTTCATATCCACCAACCATCGTTTGGTCTTGTCGATCGATATTTCCTTTTTCTGTTTCTTTCGATCTCTTGCACCTGGATATGTTTTCGGGTTCGGTTGGTACACTGAAATTCGATCGCAAATAAGGTTTGTATAATAAAAAAAGAAGACTGCAACTTACATAGTTTTAGTTCTTCCTCCTCGTCGCTATCATCGAAGTGATATCGAAGAGGGGGTGGATCGATCAAAGGCAAGAGCGTCCTGTCCTTCAGATCTATCTTCCCAGGAGCTTCATCCTCCCTTCGATGAAGTAGAATAGTCGGCGAATCCAAAAGTTTGTCAAAAAATACTTCAGCTTGTCGAAGACGTTCCGGTGATCCTATGCCCATGAACAACTCCGATGTCGTGTGAACAATATCCGTCTCATTCGGCTGCCGATTTTCCTTCTCGTCGTCCAATAGTATCCGTTCCGTTATCCAATCGCTGTCTGACGACACTCGTAACGTTATCTTCTTCTTATTCTTCTTACGATCCTTTCTTAATTGCTTGTCTTCCTTTCTCTGTGCTTTCGATTTCTTTTTCGACACATTCTGTTCAGTGTTCACGCTGGACGAGGATCCGTTGCTGACCGTCGAGAAACCAATGCTGATCTTCCAGCAGACAGTTTTCAGTGGTGTGCTGCAGAAAACCGAACCTCTTCTCAACCTTACTCGGCTGCTCTGCGAATTATCGGACGAAGAGGACATTCTTGGATTCAGTAATTCTTGTTATTCCCAAGAAACACGATTTTTGGTATCACCAAGAGGGTCCAGAACACTTTCGACCAGAAGAACTCTTGAACCACAGCAATCAATGGCTTTCTGGAGAAGATCCTTACGATGTTCTCATCACAGAGTATGCTTCTCTTTGATGATTGTTGAAAGAATATCGAAATTGGACTCAGTAATTCTTGCTATTCCCAAGAACCGTCCTCGTGTTCTTCATGATGTGGTACACGCACGATTAACGTTTCTGTCTCGGTTCTCTTGTAACACTTGTCCCTTAAGAAGTCAACGAATGTGACGTACATTGTACGAAGGAATGTTTCAGAACGGCGTCAAACGTACCACTGACGAGAATTGTCAATAACCGAGGACTATAATAAGAAATACTCGACGGTGTTTGTTTTGATGTACTTGAGCATATTGTACGACGCAGGCGATGAGGACGATCCTGCATGTGGAAATGAAGCATCAGAGACCTAGATTAGATTAGATTTGGATCGTTCTCCCGGGGGCGGGGAATCAGAGACCTAACTGGGATAATCAAAATTTAAAAAGTGAAGGTATAAGTTAATATCTTTGTGTGAATGATTTTGGTTACGAATAATCATTAACAATTTTATTATCAATAACAATTATCGATGACGGAATTTTTTTTTGGTTATGAATAACCATTATCAATGATGGAAATTGTTTTTGGTTGCACGTAATCATTATCGATGACGAGAATTTTATTTTGGTTTCGCCGATAATTATTAATGATGACAGGAATTTTTTTTGGGTGTGAAACGTGTAGAAAGTGGTGGGGAATATTTTCAAAACTACACTGTATTTCGTTTTTTTTTGTGAATAAACAAGAAATCTGAGGAAAGAACGCCATGAATTAATTTGTACACCTAATGCAGTGACGCACAAATTTGTTAAGGGAAGACCGTTAACTTTATTTGATTTTTTTTTCTGGTTTTTACCTTACACCGTTTACGAGGTTATTGAGTAAATTCTTCGAAGGTTAATTCATCGATGCCTCGTATCGATATCATTCGACTTCCACGAAGGATAAATAGAAGGATAATAAGTAATACACTGCGAATAAAAAATATGAAAAGTGTATTGGGGCGTACCCGAAAGACACACATGATCTTTTAAGGAATTCTGACCTTGGAGGGTCAGGAAAAATGATTAAATCGATGAACTTTTGTTCGTTAATGCTATTAATAGAATGTGGATCCTTATGCAGATCCAGTTTTCAACAGAATCATTAACGGAAGTACATATTGAGTGAAAAGTAGAATGAAAATTCTGTCTATAATAATATTAATTAATTGAATAATTCTAATAGTAATAATATTATTATTATTTTAATAAATTATACAAGTCATATTCGAATTAATATTATTATTCAAATGAATCATTATTATTATTATTATCCTTACGGCTATGTTCATTTATTCTGTTTATTTTTATATTATCGAGTTGTTTATAAAGTAATTCACACTTTCACAAAAACCCGCGATCAATTAATTTTTAGAATTTTTACTTCCAGGATCCCTGGATTTTATTCCCTATTTCTAACACAGAAGTTTCTGCTGTTTCAAATTTTTTTCTAGATAGAATTTGAAATTGTCGTTTTTTATATATAAAATATACAACTGTTTACAAACTCAGTTTTAACTCATTTTTGCAAAAACATGTGTCTGGCTTATTTCCATAAAAAAATTTCTTTTTATTTTGTTTATAAAGAAGTTATTATTAACAAACATTACTTATTAATTTTTTAATTTTTTAAGAAAGAGGAACATTAAATACATGTTTACCAAGTTTGGTTTTGATATTCCCATTTTTACACCCAATTTAAGCTTCTGAACTGCTAAATCGACGTTCTGGACCACTGTGCGCCGGCAACCGACCCTCGGGTTAGAATGTAACATATGGAACGAATCACACATGAAAAAAATGTAAACTTTTACTCCTTTCAGTGTACTTTCTTAAAAATGTTATGAATAAATGTAGGAGATTCTTTTGATGAAAATAAGTCCAAACCCGGCATAAATCGGAC